TGAAAAGTTTCCCCAAACAGCTAACAAGAGTAATACCTCTGTAATTATTTACATCGTTGACATTTCCCTTCTTAAAGACAGGCACACTATTACCCTTTGACCATACTTCCGGGAAATAACTAGCTTTAAGTATAATTGTTAGATAAAGTTACAAAACGAGGCATCAACACCGGCTTACAATTCATTATAATAAAATATTCATTTAAAATATTGTCAGGACAGCATGCCTTATTTGCATTTAATTTCTTAATTGCACCAAATATTTCGGCTTCTGATATATAAACGTCTAATTCGTCAAATGTTACATTCGAAGAGTTAGAATCATGTTCTTGCAGAAAATAATTAACATTAGCCTAAATTAGTTGGTTTGGTTGAAGCTAATTTATGAAAATGGTCGAAAAAATCAGCATCATTCAAATAACTTTTAACCTTTTGCTTCCTTTTCTTGAAATGTTTTTAAGAACTCTTAGGATTATGTTTTCTCATGTTATTGAGCATGTTGCCTTGCTGACACCTATATTCTTTTTTAAGTTTGTATTACAATATTTTGTACATGCTTTTCTTGTTAATAAGATAGACACGGTGTTCTTCGTGTTTACATCTGTTGAATATAAAAACAGTGTTCTTTTACGTTTATTCATACTGTTTTCTGACAAATAGTTAACAATGTTAGATAAAATATTACTTGATGCATCGCCCAGTAGGTCAGCGTCAATGAAATTATCAACTTCACCAGTTCGACTGTTAAAATCACCTAGGCCTATAGCCAATATCATGCCACAAGGGGATTTTTTCTTAAATACAGCAGAGACGTTTATATGTATACTGTATATTTATACTGTATACAGAAATACTTTCTTCTAGTTTTACAAAAAGATCCACATCATGCGTATCATAATGAGTACTATTAGCTGCGGGAAATAATTAACAAATATGTAAATATCTTTACCATCACGTAATAAAATCAGGTGCTATCATTTACATTTTCGACAACTGTACAATACGTACAGTACGGGGTCACCTGCATGCTCGATCACATGGGTTTACTCGAGTACTCTGGTTTCCTGCAACAAGAAGACTCTAGAGCGCTAACATCGGGGCAAAACAAGAGAGATTAATATAAGCGGAAATAACTTGTTTAATAATTGTTGTAAAAAACATAAAGTTTATATTTATGTAACAGGAGCTGGACGAGCCCAGTTCCTCTACATTATATATTTATATATATATGAAATCAGCGAATCCGGACTTTTCCAACAGTCCTTTTTATTTTTATTTTATTAGCGCAACAAATAGAAAGAGAAAGTAGGATTTACCAGAAAGGCCTGCAAATCATGATTTCACCACATTCCAGAAACTACCCACTGACCTGTCACCAAATATGATGGACATAAATAACTTAAAGTAACATTTTCAGACAAGACCTCACGTTCAGATGTCAGTAGGAACTGGGCCACGATAATTGAGGTAAATGGCGGTGTCAGGTCGTTTCGGTAACAGGACGAAAGTCGTTTCGGGACTTTATTCGGGTCGTTTGGGACATGTTAAAAGTCGTTTCGGGATTTTCTTTTTTTTCTTTTTTCTTCTGTAGATATCATTGTCTTTATTCTTTAATCATATCTTATTGACAAACATAAAATCGAATGAACTCCAGGAACTGGCAACAGAAATCTCCCCCATTCTCGGTCTCATCTTACAAAGCTCGTTAGGTACCGGTCATGTTCAATCTGACTGGTGAACAGCTAACATTGTCCTAGTTTACAAAAAAGGCCAAAGATTTAACCCTGAAAACTACCGTCCCATATGTCTCACTTGTAGTATTTTTGTTGTAAGTTGTTGGAACATATATTATAGTAAGTAACATCATGAATCATGTTGATAACTATGACATTCTTTACCCCTTACAACATGGTTTCAGACAATCCAGGTCATGTGAGAGTCAACTATTAGAATTCATTGATGACATCTCAACTAATTTAAAAAATGGTAAATAGACAGATATATTGATTATGGATTTAAGTAAGGCCTTTGATAAGGTGAGCCATTCTCTCCTTATCCACAAACTAAATTAGGGGGTATGGAATTACTGGACCAGTCAACACCTGGATTGAAAGCTTCCAAAGTGACAGAACCCAGACCGTTGTAGTAGAGGGGGAAATGTCCGATTCTGCCCCAGTAAGATCAGGGATCCCCCAAGGCTCGGTCCTCGGGCTGAGTCTTTTCTTATACTACATCAATGATATCACTGAGGGTATAACATCTTCTATCAGACTCTTTGCAGATAATATACCATCATGTATCTGACAGTAATATCTCAGAGAGATGCTCACACCCTACAAAAAGATCTTGATAAACTGGCGCTTTGGGAGACTTAAAATGGAGGATGGCTTTCCATCCTGAGAAATGCCAGGTCATCTCTGGTCACAAGGAATAGACATCCCATCTGTCGCCCCTACATACTACATGGTCACGAGTTGGAGCATGTGACAGAGGCTAAATATCTTGGGGTCTGATCTAAAGTGGAATACTCATATCAATAACATCACAAAAAAGGCCAATTCCACTCTGTGCTTCCTGAGGCGCAATCTCAAAATTTCATCCTCTAACATCAAACAAAAGGCATATAAGTCCCTGGTCCGTCCTCAGGTTGAATACGCTAGCCCAGTATGGGACCCTTAATTAAAAAAAGATATAGACAAGCTAGAGATGGTACAGCACAGGACTGCCCATTTCGTTGCCAAGCGCTATCGTAACACCTCCAGCGTTGGCAACATGTTCTCCAGACCCAGAGGTATTACAGTCAATTTCTCTGCATGGATGGAGAGATCATCAGGGGCTTTATTCAAATTGTAAACTTCAGTACCCCTGGGCCATCCGTTTTCCCTTGGGGAGGGGGTAAAGTTTACGTTATATTATTAGCTCACCTGGTCCGAAAGACCAAGGTGAGCTTATAAATGCTGTACTGTGGCGTCCGTTGTCCGTCCGTACGTCAACAATTTCTTCAAACGACTTCTTCTTCTTAAACACTTATTTAAATTTGACTACATTTGACTGGCATCCCTAGGTAATGGGGTTTCATATTTGTACAAATGGTGGGGCTGACCCCCCAGGGGGCTGAGGGATGCGGCCAAAAGGGGACAATTTGGCTATATTGATATAAACGACTTCTTCTGTAGAACTGAGTGATAGACATCAACCATATTTGAATGGACGCATCCCTAGGTAGTAGGGATTCAAAATTGTACAAATGGTTGGGATGACCCCCCAGGGGGCTGAGGGGCGGGGCCAAAAGTGGGCAATTTTGCTTAATTGCTTTAAGCGACTTCTTCTCTGGAGCTGAGAGATTGACATCAACCATATTTGACTGGAAGTATCCCTAGGTAGTGGGGATTCAAAATTATACAAATGGTGGGGCCACCCCCTAGGGGATTGAGGGGCGGAGCCAAAAGGTGGCATTGCTATATACGACTCCTTCTGTAGAACTATACACTGGATATAAATCATATTTGGTCGAAAGCATTCATGGGAGGTGGTGATTCAAAATTGTACAAATAGTGGGGCTGACCCCCTGGCTAAGGGGTGGGGTCAAAATAGTTTATTACTTTGAAACGGTAGAGATCCCCACCCCAAAACTATATATATAATTGTTGGGCATGAAGAGACAAATGCTGTCATGATATTAGAATTGACCCTGGGATCTGCCCCACCCTTGCAAACTTAACCCTGGGTCATAACTTTGAAACTGTTGAGATCTCCACCCCTAAACTATATATACAATTGATTGGCATAAAGAGACAAATGCTGTCATGATATTAGAATTGACGCCGGGATCTGCCCCACCCTTGCAAATTTAACCCCTGGGTCATAACTTTGAAACGGTTCAGATCCCCACCCCAAAACTATATATACAAATGCTGGGTATAAAGCTGTCATGATATTAGAATTGACCCTGGGGTCTGGCCACAACCCTAGGGACCTAGTTTCTTAGTCACAGCTTGGAAACAGTTGAGATCCCCAGCCCATAACCATACATAAATTTGCTTGGCATGAACAATCTAATACAGATATGCTATACGGTTTGGCCTTAGTGTCTGGCCCATTCCCTTGGATATTATAAGGAGAATATTTTGCCATTATTGCTTAGATATTCAGGTGAGCGATACAGGCCCTCTGGGCTTCTTGTTTAGGTAAATAAAACTTTTGGGAATATTTTCAGTAAGAAATTATTCTTACTTGGTGAGAATCATCCTTGGAGGAAGATGGTATCAAAGTGTAAAATTGGGATGTCTGCCCCAACACCAGGGGCCAGGGCGGGGCCCCAAAGGGAAAATTAACCAATATTTCAAAGATCTTCCTCTCCAGTCTTGGAGGTATAACAGTCAATTTCTCCGCATAGATGGAAAGATCATCAGGGGCTTTATTTAAATTGTAAATTTCAGTACCCCTGGGCCATCCTTAAAGTTTACTGTAGTTTATACATTGTATAGGGAAATAACTCTTTTGGGTACATAATGTATGTTTTGTTAATTTTCAGCATTATTCAAACTTGGGCAGAATCATCTTGGGTGGAAGAGGGTATTACATTGTAAAGTTGGGATTCCTGCCCCATCCCCAGGGGCTAGGGTGGGGCCCTAAAGGGAAAATATACTAATATTTCAAAAGTCTTCTTCTTCATTCTCAGAGGTACTACAATCAAATTCTATGCATGGATTACAATTCCTTTAGGGGCTTTATCAATTTTTCAGTTTCATTACCCCTCATGGGCCATCCATTCTTGCTTGGGGAAGGGGTAAAGTTGACTTAAATTTATATACATTGTAGGCAAATAACACTTTTGGGTATACATGTATTTCGTCCATTTTTAACAGGAAATTTTTCAAACTTGGTTGGGATGATTATGATGCCAGATGGCAATTACTGTAGATGGTATGAGAAATTAAGATATTGCCCCATCCCCTGGGGCTGGAGGGGTGGAAAATAGTTAATGGGGAAAATGGTTAAAAGTTTAAAAAATCTTCTTCAACAGACTCAGATGTTTTATAAACAAATAATCTTCATGGATAGGAAGGTCCTTTGGTGCATTGTCACAATTGAAGTTTTCATTATCTCCCAGTTTATCTGCTCTCCCTTGGGGAGAGGGTAAAGTTTACTATAGTTTATACATGTATAAGGAAATAACACTTCTGACTACATGTATATCTTGTCCATTTTCAGAATTATTTTCAGAAATCATTCAAATGTGGTTGAAATAAAATAGTATCAGAAAGTAAAATCCTGACTTATCCCAGGGGTTAGCCAAAGAGGAAAATTGGCTTAATAACAATAGACATTATGTATCTCAATAGCAAATTTATTTATTTGAATATTTTTTTTCAAGTTTTCATATTTGGGTGACATCACAAGTATTATATTTCACTTCGTTTACATGTTGATTTCCACATCATGTCTTAACAATGAAATTGAGCTACCAGTACCTATAATATAACTCAGGTGATGGCAAAGTCCCTTGGGCCTCTTTTTTCAAATAGATGACCTAAACCTACTTTAACGATCACAAGGGTCAAATGTTTTTAAACCTTTAATCTTTTTCTTTTTAATAACCAAGAGACCAAGAGCAACAATATTTGGCCAGTAAATACCTGGGACAGAGTGATATTAAGTTTCCTTAAATAAATGACCTTGACCTACTTTCAAGGTTAGAGGGGTTAAATATCTAAAAACCTTTAAACAACTTCTTCTGAATAACCAGGAGGCCAAGAGTACTGATATTTGGCCAGTAGGTACCTGAGACAGAGTGCCATAAAGTTTCCCCAAATAAATTACCTTAATCTACTTTCACGGTCACAGGGGTAAAATATGTAAATATCTTTTAAGCAACTTCTTCTGCAATACCAGGAGGCCCTGAGTGATGACCAGGTAACTCAATATATGGAAATATTTGCAAAAGTACTTTTATTAAGAATTTTTCCCCATGATTGCTTAAAAACCCAGGTGAGCGATACAGGCCCTCTGTGCCTCTTGTTTAATATAAAATCTCAAGAAAATAAAAAATTTAAAACTTTAAGAGAAGCATTTATCCATAATTTTAAAAATGTCCTCATCACATCAGGTTCCCGTACCACATCAAATACACTATGTAATTACCTGAAACGAATTACCTACAAATTCTATTACCTGAGCGAGATCAGGTTATCTCTGTCTTGGGCTAAGATTCTGTGATATACTCCCAACCAAGCCATTTTATAAGCCGAGGTTGGTATGTTATAGAATCTAAGCCTGACATAACTGAGTGAGATTATTTCAGTCGAAGGCAAAGATTCTGTAACATACATGTAATCCCAACCTAGGTTGGAATGTTTCTGCATAATAATCGCCCGTGATTGTGGTAACCTAATCTTGCTCAGTTAGAGGTAATGTTTTTTCTCGTACCTTATTCAATTTCCAGGGGCCACAAACAAATATGTCCTTTTCACTACTGAAGCAGCGCCTGAATGCTTCTGAGTAAACAATGTAGTCTGACCTCATATAGATGTATGATTTTTGTGTTACGTCAATGTTCACCGACTCCACCAATCTGTGTGACACAAGTGTGTTTACAAAAATTGTACGAGTGTACAACTTGTGTTAGCACGCATGAAAACATTGCTGTGTGAAGAATCCAGCGAAATATTGCCGAAAGGTGCCAAACAGATCGGATGGGATAGCAAAATCTAAAGGGGTATTACATGAAAATCCCTGTCTGAGGTTCGAGAATTAGTGATCTCATTCTTCACCTTTGGTTTACTTCATCCAAAACCTACCGAGAACTTCACATTCACCTCATTGAATATGAATTTGTGTCTTATTGCAGATGGTGCTGTGATGCACGAAAATGTCATGAAAATGGGATTGAAAGGATATTGTTTGCACCTGTGATAAACCTCAACTTCATCCACAACAAAGTGGTGAAGACATGGCTGAACAGCAACAGAATTTATCGCGGTTTGAACCATTTCAAACGAAACCAGTACAAAAAAGTGGAGCTATTGGAATAAGCATGGTACCAACGCAGGTTTTAAGAAAGAACACAGGGACACAACTGACAAAGGACACCAGCGGTACTGATAAAGGTATTTCCAAACATACCTTGCAATTATGACATCAAATTACATTTCGGACCTTTTTAAGGGAGTACAATGCCCCTTTACGTAAATATTTTGACAAAACTTTGTCTAGCAATGCATTCGCTCATTTTTCAATAGTTGTTTTTAATCTTTTAGAGTAGTGGCAGTACCATGTGTAGTTTTTCCCCCAGCCTCTGAAATAATTTAGCGTTTTGGATCATTTTAAGAGAGTTATGCCCCTTTACTTAAAAAAATGGGGAAAACTTCGTCTGGCTATGCATTTGTTCATTTTTAAATAGATTTCTTTGAAACGTACTAATTTTTAGCTTCTCTCGAGACAAATATTGAAAAATCTGGGCTAGCACTAGGACTCATTTGACCCATGACCTTGAAAATGTTGGACATTATACTGGTATATTCAGGTCATTTCTGTCTGCAAACTTTGTAGCATTCCATGCACGCAAATATTATGACTCTCTAGATGATTTGGTTCCGCGTCCGGCGTCAATATTTTACTTTAAACAACTTCTCAATAACTAAAAGGCCTAGGGTGATTATATTTTGCAAGTAGCATGCCGGGATGAAGGGCTACCAAGTTTGTTCAAATGAATGACCTTGACCAATTTTCAAGGTCACAGGGGTCAAATGTATTAAAATCTTCAAACGACTTCTTGTCAATAACCAAAAGGCGAGATGTACTGATATTGGCCTGTAGCATGGTGGGATGAAGGACTGCCAAGTTTGTCCAAATGAATGACCTTGACCAACTTTCAAGGTCACAGGGGTCAAATGTCTTAAAATCTTCAAACAGCTTCTTCTTCTCAAAAACCAAAAGGCCTAGGGTACTGAAATTGGGCCTGAAGCATGCTGGCATGAAGGGCTACCAAGTTTGTTCAATTGAATGACCCGGACCCACTTTCAAGGTCACAGGGGTCAAATATTTTAAAGTCTACAAATGACTTCTAAATAACCAAAAGGCCCAGGGTACTGATATTGGGCCTGTAGCATGCAGGGATGAAGGGCTACTAAGTTTGTTCAAATGAATGACCTTGACCCACTTTCAAGGTCACATGGATCAAATGTTGGAAAATACTCAAACCACTTCTCAATAACCAAAAGGCCCAGGGTACTGAAATTGGGCCTGTAGCATGCTGGGATGAAGGACTACCAAGTTTGTTCAAATGAATGACCTTGACCTACTTTCAACTTAATGTCCTTGTTCGACATTCAAGGTCACAGGCGTCATATGTTTAAATCTTTTAATAGGTTCTTATGAATCAAATATTGATATTCTGCCTGTAGCTGTATTTTAGTCCACTTTTAAGATTACAAGTGTGAGATTAATACCAGGTGAGCGATGCAAGCCCATTGGACCTCTTGTTTGTTTACAAGCTTTGTAACACTTCATGACAGCAAACTACTGGAAACCTGTCGTCATCCATCGTGCGTAACCTTTTTACATTTTCAACTTCTTCTCAAGAACCAGTGAATGATTTTTTTTTTCAAACTTGGTCAGAATCATCCTTGGTAGATGAGGCTACAAAATTGTAAAATTGGGATTCCTACCCCAACCCCTGGGGCCAGGGTGGGGCCACAAAGGGAAAATTAACCAATATTTCAAAAATCTTCTTCTCCAGACTCGGAGGTACTACAGTCATTTTCTCTGCATGGATTGAAAGATCATCAGGGGCTTTATTTAAATTGTAAATTTCTGGACCCCCGAGTTATCCGTTTTGCCTTGGGGAGGGGGTAAAGTTTACTTTAATGTATATAGAAAAACAACACTTTTGGGTATATTTTGACAATTTTCTGTAGGAAATTATTCCTACTTGGTGAGAATTATCCTTGGAGGAAGATGGTTTTAAATTGTAAAATTTAGATTCCTACCCCGACCCTAGGGGCCAGGGCGGGGCTCCAAAGGGAAAATTAACCAATATTTCAAAAATCTTCTTCTCCAGACTCAGAGGTACTACAGTCATTTTCTCTGCATGTTTAAATTGTAAATTACAGGACCCCCGGGCTATCCCTTCTCCCTGTGGGAGGTGGGAAAGTTTACTATAGTTTATATAGGGAAATAACACTTTTGTATATATTTTTACAATTTTCTGTTGGAATTATTCTTACTTGGTGAGAATTATCCTTGGAGGAAGATGGTTTTAAAATGTAAAATGGGACTCCTACCCCAACCCTAGGGGCCAGGGTGGGCCCCAAAGGGAAAATTAACCAATATTTAAAATTCTTTTTCTCCAGACTCAGAGGTGCTTCAGTCAATTTCAGTGCATGGATAGAAAAGATCATCAGGAGCTTTATTGAAATTGTCAATTTCAGGATCCCTGAGCCATTCGTTCCCCCTTGGGGAGGGGGTAAAGTTTACTATAGTTTATATTGGGAAATAACACTTTTGGGTATATTTATCCATTTTAGCAGAAAATTATTCAAACTTGGTCAGAATCATCTTTGGTGGATGAGGGTATTACATTGTAAATTTGGAATTCCTGCCCCATCCCCAGGGGCTAGGGTGGGGTCCCAAAGGGCACATTTAACAATATTTTAAAATTCTTATCCTTTGATGACATGACAAGTATTGTATTTCACTTAGTTTACATGCTGATTTCCACATCTCATTTAAACAACATAATAAAGCTATCAGTACTTATGAAATAACTCAGGTGACCGCTAAGGCCCTTATTTGGGTCTCTTGTTAGTCCACCTCACCGGAAGGGCAAAGTGAGTTTATGCTGTGGTCCAGCGTCTATCGTCTGTCCGTTGGCCTGTTGTTTATGACATTCAATGTAATACATGAATTTATGTATATATCTCATATTTAACGTATATGACCCTGAAGGTAGATCAAGAGGTATTTTTTTCACAAACTTTATCAAGGTTCATTCTATCTTTACCCCTTTGCCTTATTGATACCACGCTATCCCATTTTTAGCTCACCTGGCCCAAAGGGACAAGTGAGCTTATCTCATGCCGCAGCGTCCAGTGTCCGTCGTCCGTCAACTTTTTCCTTTAAAGCGCTACTAGTCCTGAACGGCTCAGAGGATTTTGACCAAATTTAGTCTGAAACATCATTGGCCAAAGGGCTCTACGTTTTGTATATACGGAGGGTATGGTCCCCCTGGGGGCAGAGGGGCGGGGCCAAATAGGGGGAAAATAGGTAAATCTTTAAAAATCTTCTTCTTCTCAACCAATAGAAGGATTTTGACCAAATTTGTTCTAGAGCAGCTTTGGACAAAGGAGCCTCAAGTTTGTATAAAAGGTGGGAGTGGGTCCTCTGGGGGCATAGGGGCGGGGCCCAATAGGGGAAATAGTGGATTTGTTTTCTCCTACTATACAAGTGAAGGGATTTAAACCAAATGCAGTCTGAAGCATTAATTTTGTTTAAACTAAGGTGTGTGGACCCCCTTCTTTGGGACATATGAGTGGGGCCCATTAGGGGAAATAGAGGAAAACATTAAAGATCATTCTCCTTCTGTACCGTTGAAGGGATTTTAACCTAACCAAACTTGTTCTAGAGAATCTAATCCCCCCCAAGCAGGCAGAGGAGCAGGGGAAGTAGAGAAAAATATTTTCCCTTCTGTACAAATGAAGGGATTTAAACCAAATGTGGTCTGAAGCATGCTAAGGGGAAAAAATCAATTTGTTTAGTTTGTATAAAAAGATGCATGTGAGGCCCAATAGGGGAAATAGAGGAAAATTGGGACCTAACATGGAAACTCATTTTCTTGGTGTCTTTTCCACCAAAACAGATGTATATGGAGTTCTTCTTGCAACTTTGTTTCTTGTACTCCTTTGATAAACCTGAATGGTACTCAGCAGGTTTTAAATTGAAAAAAATACAAGGGGAGCTATTAAGGCCCCTGGGCCTCTTGTTTCTATTCCTATTATTTTTTGTTGTTGATTTCTCCAATAGATAAAAACTTGACAGCAACTGGATTTGCATACAACAATAAGGAAAAGCCGACTACTTCAGGACGCTTCCACCCTCGTAAGTTTTTATTTTATTTTGGTTGCAACAGCCAGGGTCATGTGAAGACAGGTGCCAAGGGAATGAATACTGGAAAGAGAGAATAGCCTGGTTTGTGACCGAAGGGTTATGTGTTCGAGTCACGTCACTGTGTTGTATCTTTGAACAAGATACTTTACCCCGCTTGTTCCAGTCTACTCAGCTGTAAATGAGTACATGGTTGGGTAGTGCTAGAATTGTTGAATGATAGCTATGAGTGCCTAAATGGCAGCACCGGCTGTATGCTCCCCAGGGAGTTGAGAAAGCTATTGGCTGGTTGCAAAGGTCCTATAACCACAGATAATAATTTGTGAATTGCTTTGAGATGACCTACAAACTAGGTTGTGATAAAGCGATTTATAAAAACTTGAATTATCATTATTATTTATTAATGAGGGCAACTGACAGATCAAGTTTCATGTTGTCAATATCCTCTTAGCAGAAGTAACTAGAAGAAACCACCAAATTCTGCGGGGGGCCCAAAATAAATTTCCTAAATACACATGCAACGGAATACAGCAGGCCTTTTTTTGGTTGCTCTAGTGTTCCCTAAACAGAGGATACTGAATACACCTCCCTGGTCCTGCTTGGTGCTCACAAGTGTGTTCAGGAGAACCTATATATAACTTAGCAAAGGAGACCAATACAATGTCTTTTCAATATTCATTGCATGCGAAGTTGACAGAGGATATAGAAACAGTGGTCAGGTGGTGCAGTGGATATCACACTCACCTTTCACCAAGTCGGTTCGGGTTTGATTCTCCTATCGGACGTGGAAAGGTATGGGTTCACCTGCCTGATCACGTGGGTTTTCTCTGGGTACTCCGGTTTCCTCCCACTTAAAGACCCCCAAGCGTGCTGTTATTCGGGCAAGCAAGAGCGATTAATATAAGTTGTAATAATTTGTTTCATAATTGTTGCAAAATAGATAAAGTTTATATTTAGATATAGGAACAGAATCCTTGCATCTGGTTGTCAGTGCAACAGATGAAGAAGATTAGTTACTTCCCTACTCTCTGTCTGCTTAACTTGCTTATACTTCCATCAAGAATGTCTTTCTACTGAAGACATGTTGTAGAAGCTGAATTTGAAAAACATATTAAGCTTCAGTGACTGCCTTCCTCTTATGAGGCGATTAATGTGGGCACCATCTTAAAGTAGTGCATCAATTTCAAGATTAATATTTCATGCAAAGAGACCCAGCAGGTATAAATCTGAGTATTGCTTTTTACATTCCTTTTCATCGAATTATGCCCCTTTTGTAAAATATTGTTTTGAAAGGACTATTCTTGCCTTTTTTCGGTGCAGCGGTGAATTAGTCAGCCATCCTGGCGACAGGTCTAATTTTGAAGTTGGTAATTAGGTACTGTCAAGGTTGCTACTTTTTTAACCAATAATCTGCATAAAGAAAGTTTATGTATTGAAAGCTTTTATAAATTTCTTTTCATGCAGTTCAGCATTAAACATATTTTGTCCATGCTATAAGATAAAGGTGATCAATTACAGGCCCATTGATCCTTTTGCTTTTATAATTACGTTTAAAATGATATAAACAGAGCTCACAATGTTTAGAAATATTTATCTTTATCTTTATTTAGTATCATTTCTGTTTGTTCTTTAGAGTAGTTTTCATTGATTAAACACATTTAAAAGCAAAATATTCAAAATAAACATTTTTATTATAGGTTCTGTAGGATTAGACGAAATGGAAAGAAGGAACCAGAGTTCCTCCTGTCATGAGAGACCACAAGAGATTTCAAAAGACCGTATCAGGCAAGTAGACAAACCAAGAACTGTTGCACGTAATAGGGACTCTGAAAACAAAACGGCATTGTTTGTAAAATTTGCAGAAACATTACAGAAAGACTTCGACATATTTGGATATCTGCTGCAGCGACTACCGAATGGGATGGACTTTACATACATCAACCAAACTATTGATAAACGAACTGGCAACACAGTTATAGAACTTCAGTGCCCAAGTAGACGTGATGCAGAACGCCTTGAGGATGAACTATATCAAAGTAATGATGTATGTGACACAAGCGTCTGCTGCTTTTATTCATTTGAAGAAGCCTGTAATCTGACAATGTCAACAAAACAGGAATGTGAAGTCCTTCTTGCAGAATGTGTAGAAGATCTAGTGAAAAGGGCTGAATTGTCTTTGGCAGCTCACCAAGTCAAGATAGAAGATCTAAAAGAAAATTTAGGAAAACTTAAAAAGACAAAGTCGAAATTTTTGTCATTGGAAAATTTCGGTATTGTTGATCAAGAACAGAAAGCACTAGAAGACAAAATTAAAGAGCTTGAACTTCAAAAAGGAGAATTTCAAAATTTCATTATGACGGCTCATCGAAAATTCGTTGAATTGAAGGACTCTCCAGTATGTGCAAAACCAGCTCGTGAAATAATGAAAGCATTTGGTGTGGAATGTAACAGACTTGATAAAGCCTTACCAATGTACGCAAGGAGATCAGACATACTTGATACTGTGAAGAAAAACCAAGTGTCTGTCATCATTGGAGAAACAGGATCAGGAAAGAGCACACAGATGGCACAGTACCTTTATCAGAGCGGATTTGCCAACACGGGGATGATCGTCTGTACACAACCTCGTAAAATAGCCGCCATTAGCGTCGCTACACATGTTGCAAGTGAAATGGGCACATCTGTAGGGGAGATCATTGGGTACAAGGTCGGAATGCAAGAGATGAAAACTTCATTAACAAAAGTTATGTTTATGACTGATTATGTTTTGCTGAGGGAATGTCTCAAGGATAGACATTTGTCTTCATTTTCCTGTATAATCATAGACGAAGCTCACGAAAGAAGTATATTCACTGATCTGCTTCTCGGTATGATCAAAAGCTGTCTTGCCGTACGCACTGACCTCCGTGTTGTGATAACATCCGCTACCATTGAACCAGAAGTCTTCGTCCAGTACTTTAGACTATGTCCAGTACTCTCTGTGTCCGGAAGAATGTTTCCAGTAGATATCATATGGAAAGAACAAGATTCTGACATTGAATCGATTTCAAATCACATAGAAGAATGTGTCAGGAAAGCAATTGATGTTCACTACCATCAACCTGAAGAAGACATTCTGGTGTTTGTAACCTCTCCACAAGAGACTGAAAAATGTTGTGAGAAGTTCATGGCTTACACGGAAGGCAGAAATGAAAACTGTGTTTGTCTGCAACTGCATGGGAAACTTCAAGCCGACGAACAAAGAAAAGTATTTGATACCCTCCTTGGTAAACGCAAAGTCGTGTTTGCTACCAACAGTGCTGAGACGTCTGTTACCATTCCTGGCATCCGATACGTTATCGACACTGGTTTGGTCAAGGAGATGAGTTACGATCCAAAACGGAAAATGAATACATTGGCTGTGACAACAGTAACGAAAAGCTCAGCTGATCAGCGAAAAGGTCGTGCTGGACGACTTGGACCTGGGATATGTTACCGACTGTATACAGAGAATGAATATGACAAAATGAAATCGAACATGGTTCCAGAAATACTACGAGTGAATCTTGGCCAGGCAATGCTTAAGCTGATAGAGCTCGACATTGATCCATTGGAATTTGACTTTGTCTTGTCACCATCAAAAGAAATCATGAAAAGCGCAGTGATGGAGTTGGAGGATCTTGGAGCTGTATCGGCAAGAACAATTACCAATCTTGGAAAATGGATTTCAAAGTTGCCTTTCGATCCTAAGTTTGGTGTTTTTATTTATGATGCACTGGCAATTGGTGCTGGTCTCGAAGGGATAGTTATAGCTGCGTCTTGTAGCAGAGGCTCCATTTTCTTTCGAACTGGAGCTACTGATGAAAAAGAACAAGCCGATCGGAAGAAGATTCCATTTTGTCATGCAGATGGTGACCTGATGACAATGCTTAATGTCTTTCGAGAATGGATCAGACAGCCAGAGAAAGCCAGAGGGCCATGGTGTTTTGATAATTCAATCAACGGCAAGACGATGAAAGGAATTAAGGAAGTAGTCAAAGACGTGTTGATAACACTGAAAAGAGAAATGCAAACAGATGTGCCATTTAAATTTGATGACCATGGGAAGATAGACCATATGCTCATCAAACCCCTTCTGAAGACATTTAGTGGAAATGTCAGCCATTATCTTGGCCACCCTAAGGCAGGTTATGTACTTGCTACCAAGGACCAGAGAATAGAAGTTCACCCATCATCAGCTTTGATGTCTTTGGCTAGTCAGCCAGAGTGGCTTGTATTCGACCAGGTGATGAGAACGTCAAAGGACTTTGCTATGAATATTACACCAATCAGTGAGGAAATGGTGATAAAAGGCATCGAAGAAGGATCACTGAATGTGGATATTGGAAAAGCCAGAAGCAAACGTATTCTACCCTTATCTACAGCATACGTGGGGCCCCAAATTTTTAAAGAAGTTGTTGGAATTCGATATACCGCTCTCCGGGCATTAGAAGCAGCATTGGTGGAAAAATGTCACGGGTCTGTGGTTGTGGTAGAGGCTGACCGTGAAAATGGTGAGCTGAAGATATTCTCAAAATCGTCCAATCAACAAACACTAGAAGGTTCGTTAGACAACGTGCTAAACCCTATCAAAGATAATATCCTTGAAGAGGAAAAAGAAGAAAAACTTGGTGTGAAGTCGACAGACCGATCTTCTGTTAGAGCTGTGTTAGGGGCTGGAGGCTGTACAAAGACTTTGTTTATGCCTGATGAGTACAAGGTAGTTATGATTCACTGCGCTGTCAACAAGACACAGGAATTGGAATATGAAGATGTGTTTGAACATTTTAGCAAATTTGGAAAAATCGCAAAGTGTAGCAAATATCACTTTAAGAAGAATGCACCATCACTTTGGGGTCAAGTGATATACCAGAAAACAGAGGATGCTGTACAAGCTGTTGCACTGACTAAGGGAAACCCCGATCTCTCTGCTCGACCTGACATGCGGATGAGTAATGATCAATCTGAGAAGTTCAAAGTCCGGATGCAATGGTGCCGCAGACGTTCACGAGGGTTTGGCTTTGTTACATTTGGCAGTGTTATAGATGCCGACAATGCTGTTCGAAAAGTTCAAGTCTTAGTAGGCATATCATTGGCCAAGATCAGACCATCGAAATCAAAGACACCTTGTCAATCTGTTGCAGGACAGATCCATGTTGCTGGACTAAGTCAAATGGTGAATGAGGATGTTTTGAGGGAAAGTATTGCCAAAAGTTTGAATTTAGATCCTGTCATTGGTATTACAAAAGTAACTGTTATTAGAGAAAAAGTAGGTCTTGAAAGTGAAGAAAACCTTAACATGATGAAACGCCGTCTTCATGCAGAAATCGAAAACTATGTCAAACAAGGGACCTACGAGTTGGAACTGAGAGCACCCCAACGAGAAACAGAGATCAACTTCAATGCTTTTGTTACTTTTGACAAGCCTGAAGATGGCCAAGTAGTGTGTGACAAAATGGATCACAAATTTGTATTGAACGATCAAATTGTGTCTGCAAAGCCCGTTCTCAATTGTTCCTTGTACATTCCGAAGGGAATTTACGAAATGAGCGGCGACGCTGTAAATCAATGTGTCAGAGAGCTGGAAGCAGAAGGAGTTCGAATGAAGAAGAAAACCCTCCGAAACGAGAACGTTATCGTTGAGATCACCACAGAAGACGTTGAAACCCTCGTCAGAGCGAGACGGTCTTTTCAAGATATTATCAAAGGGGAAGTGGTCGAATGCGACGATCCAGCTACACTGAAGTCGTTATTTACATGGGAAGGTAAAAACAAGTTAAATCAGATCATGAATAAAACAGAAACACTCATTGTTACAGACAACAGAATGATGTCTGTCTCAGTTCACGGGCTCCAACAAAATCGACAAAGAGCGAAACAGAAAATTGACGAGTATCTTTTAGAAATTTCGTCTGGCAACTCCGAAGTACTAGACTTGAAAGGCGAGGGAAAACCACCCGGAGTCTTGAAGGCAATTTTTCTGAAATATTCATTCGATTTTTGTAAACTACGGGAGGAAACTGGTCTTGTTACTGTTCGATTGGATCTAAGAAATCATCGAATAGTGCTGAGTGGACCAGACAGTGCAGTCACAACAGCTAAAACTCTCATTAGAGATATCATTGAAAGCCTATCTCCTGATGGTTTCAGAGGAGAGGAAGATGAACCAGAATGTGTCACGTGCTTTTGTCCTGTTGAGCAAAAAGTTTTGTACCGAGCGGAATGCTGTGGTCATCCCTACTGCAAGGACTGTCTCCAGGCTCAAGTTCAAACATCCATCATAAACCGGGAATATCCAATGAAGTGTGAAATGGAAGATTGCAACACTTTATTTACCTGGCGAGATATAATAAACTTGTCGAAAATGGGTCATATCAAAATACCCGAACTAACCGATTCGTCAGTCGGTAAATTTGTCCAGGAAAACAAGCAGCACTATCGCTTTTGCGTTACACCTGACTGCCCTATTGTCTACCGAGTAACAGAGTCTGGAAAGTCATTTTCCTGTCCGGAATGCAAAATCAAGATCTGCACAAGCTGCCATGTACAGTTCCATGATGGCATAACATGTGCCATGTACAAAGTACCGGGAAACGAAGATCCACCCATGACAAGATGGTTCGCTGAAAATACGGCAAACCGAAAAAGATGTCCAAACTGTGGCATCCCTATAGAAAAGAACGATGGATGTAACAATATGTTATGCTTGTCTTGCCGAAAGCATATTTGTTGGTTGTGTCTGGAATTTTTTGACGGCAGTGGTGCATGTTACGGACATCTCCTTACTGCTCACGGCAGTTTCGTTTGAGATAGCTATGAACATACAACATACCCATACGAGAAGAAAAATGTGGAAGTTTCAACAAAAAATTGGTTAACTTATAAAAAAAATAGTAAAATATTCCCGACTGTGCTACATATATGTCTGTAGTGAAAAACATGGATGTTGAAATATATGATGGATGTGTCTGAAATTATCTGTTAGCAATAGAAAACAAGCTATGCCCATTTTGAGGATGGTGAAATCAATGTTCGGTATCATTTAAAATTCATCATTTTTGTGAAAAATCGGTAAATATGTATCACAATGGAAAGATAAGCATCGTATCATTTAGGAAAATACATCTGTGTGGTTATTATTAAATCTTTGGGAAACCAAAAACGAGGGAAGATGCATGATAATATGAAAAGGTAACTTGTTGCATGTATTTTTACTTTATTTGGCTTGATATTTAGCTTTGAGCTTATCAGATGGCACATGTCGTCGTTGCGTATAGGTCTAATTCACTGTTACATTTTATAGAAATTTTTGTTATTGCTCTAGCGACTTTTTAAACAGATTTTCATAATTCGTGTATTGGTCAATCTCGAAAAAAAAAATCTTGTTTAAGGTATTAAGATCAAAATATTTAGAGCTGAATTAGATTTCAGCTAACCTAAAAAAAAGATTTGTGACGTGATTCATGAATATCATATGATCCTGAAATGAAATTAAGGCGTTTATCACATTGTGGAGACTTTTGCGGAGTATACGCTTACACAAACATGTTGTTCAGTACTAGTACTGTGAATTATACCGTTGATATTTGGAATCTCGTCACCTTTGACATTATAACGTTTCTGAATTCAGTACAATGGACTTACTATCCAGTATCCGGTTCAGGTTTTGCATGCCACAGTGACTGTAAACTACATCAAGAAACCAAGTCAACATCTGCTATTTTTTTTTTTTTTTTTTTTTTTAATTTGTTGAACGTCATATTAACAGTTAAAGTCTTTTAAGGACGTGCCATCATATTAATGGTAAATCTATACTGTTCCACAGGTGAACACGACAGGTCAGTAAAACGCCACTGTAGCTGATAACCCCTTGTCTTCCAACACCACACCCATATAATCATTATATACTGTGTACAGGAGGTCAAGCAGTTGGTAGATTTTTTGCCCGAATATATTTATTCAAATGCTGTATTGAAAGTGTTTAAAATATATTTCTGTAAATGTTCATTAAACAAACTGTAAGATCTTGTACTGGTGGGTACAGAGAGTTATACTTTACGCGGAGTGTGAATAACACGTTTTTTTACGTCATTATTAAATATTTCATTACCGCCAATTACATATCTTTCGTCTCAGTTGTGACGTCAAATGTAGCCTTGGAGTCCTCGACATCATTTCATATTTTAAACCAGGTCATTTACTAAATTATCATGTATTCAGGCTTTAGTGTTATATATGTTTTTTTCTGCTGTTGTTGATATTTGATATATTCAAAGCCAGGATAAACATCTATGATGATTCAAATGATTAAAATACAATGAGATGTTGTTGATGTTTGATGTAGTCAAAACCATTATATATTGTTGCTGATGCAATTTATCGATATACTGTTGTTGATCATATACAGCTCTGAATAGAAATCAATAGCACATTGTTTTGTTCAGAAACTTAAGGCACCAAATAAACAAAAACGGTTCATTTGTTTGGACAAAAGGTGTCAGTTATGTGTTAAATTGATAAATGTATTGTAACCTTACTATTGAAATAAATCTCTGCTAAAATAACAAATACGAACAATTTAATTAGAGATTTTTACAATAAAAACGAGAAAGTGCTGTTATTTAATTTATTTTATCGATTTATTCGAGTGGGTAAAAATATTTCAATATGCAAACCTTTATTAACAGAAAACTTTAATAGTTTCATTATTTTATTCTAAACCCGTACGGATATAACTGTCTGTAAACTTCAGTTAAGAATTGACTGTCGTTATTCAAAAGCTTTCTCCGTAGTGCTTTTAGAGGTAGGTGTTTGTAAACCGAGTCCAATACCAAAGGAAAAGTTGTAAACGATTTAAGATGATTTCCGAATGTTTGGTGTTCTTAAAAAGGAATCTCTCTTGCAGTATGATTTGGCTCCCTGTCATAAGTCAATGAGCTTAAGATATTTTAGAACAAAGCCGAAATACAAAATATCTATGGCGGTAAATATTTCTGGCATGAACCCGATCGAAAACATTTTGGTCACATCAAAAAAGGATGATAAGAAGCATGCCAACAAAAAAAGTGGACCTTTGGAAGGCTTGGCAAAGGTATTGGTATTCATTACATAAAACGTTCTGCAAATTACTAAATCAAAGCAATCTTAACAGTAGCAGTGATAAAAATTAAGGAATTCTATACAAAATATTAGTCTAGTAATGGTCGAAAACATTTCTGGTATTGAGAGAAATCCAAAACGCATTCAATAGTTTTGTTACTCTTACTGGAAATATATCTGTTAATAAAATGTGCCCTTAATTGTTAAACAAAGCGAAGTGTTATATATTAATTTCTAATCGTACCTTTTTCTACATTGTAATATAAACGTTTTAGTTTTGTCATCTTATTCGTGCATATGCTTGAAGAAGACTTGTTTAGGTCAAGCTAAAAGTAATCAATGTCGGGTAAGACATTTTAATATGCAGACATGATTATAATAAAGAACAAATGATGACCTTATTATAGTAAGATTAACTAGTTGTATATAATATGTATAACACATTTTAACACGGTCAGGCATATGTGGAAACATGTATCGTTTGTGATGCCGTTTTTTTAGAATTAAGACATAACGACATAATTTATTGTATATGGTATTTAGCATGCGTGACTGAACAGTTGTCATTGATATTATATTGTTGGTGGTTTGTTGTCAACACGATGGTTGTTGTTGATATTTTGTATATCATATTCAACGCAATACTATAAATGTGTATATGATCAGCACAATTGTTTACTGTTGCTGATAGTCAACATCATGCTATAATATTGTTGATTTTTGAAGTCAATACATGCTTAACTGTTGCTGTTGTTTTGTAAAGTCCAAATAATGCTATTTTGTTGTTGATGGTTTGTAGCCAACACAATGATTTACTGTTGCTGTTGTTTTGTTGAGTCTTTGCATAACCAACGCAATGTTTCACTGTTGCTGATATTTTGTATGGCGAGCATAATACTTTACTGTTGCTATTGTTTAGTATAGCCAACACAATGTTAAACTGTTGATATGTCTGTATAGCCACTTAATGTTATATACCGTTATTAATTTTGTACAGCCAGCGAAATGCTAAACTGGTGGAGATGTTTTGTATAGCCGACGCCATGATAGACTGTTGTTGATAAAATGTAATAGCCAACACATTTTCAGAGTGTTTAGACTGTTGCTGATGTTTTGTATAGTGAACATAATGTTATACTGTTATTGTTGTTTTGTATAACTAAAACCATCCTATGCTTTTGTTGATGTTTTGTATAGCCAGCACAATTTCAGACTCTTGCTGATGGTTTGTATAGTGAACATAATGTTATACTGTTATTGATGTTTTGCTAGTGAACGGACAAATGATAGACAGTAACTGATATGTGTATAGACAGTACATTTGGGCTATTACAAATGTTTCAATGTGCTATTTCATATTAGATTGCTAAATGTTAAAACTGCAATCGCCCATGATTGTATAACTTCCATTCATGAAACGAAATTTGCCACTTTCGTTAACCTCTTTCGAACAAAAACGAAAATTCCTTGACGAGTTTCAAGAATCGCGTATGTAAGAACATAAAACGATTTATCACATGGTCAAGACTAGTTCATGCACAATATGTCGAAATTGGTCCTAATAAATGCGTTCATATGTAAACAAACAATGTGACATTGGTGCATTCACTGCATTCCAAGGTAAAACTCTTTAACCGTGTGGTAAAGTGATTTACTTTTATTAGTGTTAGCGCATTGATACATTGTTGTTGTTTGGTATGGTCGAAGTCAATATACTATCGTTTTATATACTACATATATTGAAATTCCGTTGTTGATGATTTATGTAGTCATAACAATTACAAACTGTTGTTGATGTTAAACATAAATTTATACATTGGTATACCGTTGTTCCTGATTTATATAGTCATACAATACAGTCGTTGATTACGTATAGAAATGTTCATGTTTTATATAATAAAGCATGTTATTTTCTACAATAGCGAGGAAAAAGACTTTTTACATTGAAGCAGTGCCCATTTCTTCGTCATATTATTAAGTTGAAATTAATCAATCATAATTAAATTATGGTTTCTTAAATGGCGTTTGCATCAGCTTACCTCAATGAAAAAGTGCTATGCAAGTAACTTATATAGAATTATCTCACTTGCTAGAAGCTTTACCGTATCTGTATGAAATTATTACACTTGTCACCAGAATTTCAGTGTGTACAATGGTGATGAATTTGTCATTTGTTACATTTGATTGTAGATATCTATATATTGTTATGGTTATTTTTCATTTTTGTGATTTATTATAAAGATTAAATTTTGATTTCGTGTCTTCCACTTAATTCCCACAGTCATGAGAATAGTTCATGCAAATGTATAGTAGCACTTGATTTATGGCCAAAGTCACAACTGTATGCGCTAGATGCCCAGCTTGTCAAGGTTTATGAAAGAGCGAACTCCCAAAAGCAAATGCATTTAAGAGCAAGTACAAATGTCTTGTAATAAAAAATATTGAGTTCATGATTTGAAGATTAAATTGATCTTTTGTAGCCGAAAATTCCCCCAAAAAATTAATAATATCATAATATAAATTCTCAAGATTTTTACCAACTATGCTTTTCAGTGTAGACAAATAAGATCTTGAAGTCCAAAACGCTTAACCTGAAGCGGTACCTGAAATGTGGTTGCTTTATTGATCGTTCTTTAATGTGCTTTTATGCTGAATGGACTATTTGATGGTCACCTTACAAATGCCTTGAATTACTGTCTCCAAAATGATGTTTTTGCCATAAAAATAGAACGGATCTATTAACGTGAATGTTGTCCTTTCTTATACATTTATCATTATTGGTTTGAGGTGTAAAACAATGGAGGTTTACTATATTGTACTTGTGCTGCTGATGCATGTTGGCTTTCAACAGAAGGTAATACTATTCTACATATAAGACTTACTTTACAATTGAAAGGGATCAAAAGCTGCACACGTTTGTACTCCTGCAAGTTTTACAGTCCTTTTTTTTAGATCAGTAAAACCTGAGTGGGCATTGTCTTGTTATGTAGAAGTTTTGTTGATCGTGTGATACTTCCTGTATTTTTTGTGTACAGTATATTTTAAGACATCTTTACTCTGTAACTATTTATCTTGGATGGCTCTTGTTTTCTTTAACCTATATCAAAATATGATTTTTAGGAATACATTTTTAAGTAAAAATCATGGTTAATCTAACACAGAAAATTTTCTTCCTTACAAATAGTTCTTTTTGTAATTAACTTTTAAATTATACACATTAAGATGTTATAATAGTACTGTGTATTATGATTTTTATTATTTTTTTGTTAAAATTCATATTTCCTCCTTCCATTTCATATATAAAATAGTGCCTTGAGCTAGACTAAGGAAAACGTTCAAAGAAAATTGAAATCAAATTTGTGATATTGTCGTAAATTCCTAAAACTATAAACAGGTGCTTCGTTGACACATTTCGGCGACATTTTTCGATTGAGTGAATTAGTGTTTACAAAAGGGTTATTCATACACACAACTAAGTAAATTTACAAATTTTCATAATTGCTTCTGCAAAGCGAAACGAAAATAAAATAAAATAAAACAAGCAAAAACATTAGCTGATGTTGTTGGGATAGTCATCCTCGATATCCAGGGGTTACGCTCACTTTCGCTCTCTACACCCCTGGAATATGTCATGGCAAAATTGAAGGCTCGGTTTGCGCCACGTTGTTGATGAGACAAGAAAACTAGTTCGATCCTTTGATGTACATCAAACGAATCGCGTGGTCATGTAACGGTAAAAAGTGACAGGCTTTGAAGTTTGGCGTCTCTCCTTTGTAATCTTCAAAGGAGAGGTATCAGCCTAGCGATTGGTCAGGTTTATTTTTACCTGAGGCCAATCAAAGAGCTATCTTCGTGCCTTCAATTTTGCCATGACATATTCCAGGGGTGCAGAGAGCGAAAGTGAGCGTAACTCCTGGATATCAATCATGTGGGATAGTATGTACATGTAGTCTCGATTATGAGATACAATGTTGTTGAATAATCATCTTAAATTGTGCATAGTTTTTATCTCAATCGTGCGTTCAAAGTTTAAATATAATGTATCGGTTAAATGTCATTCGTAGACTTTGTGTCATCGTTGTAATGCAAATTTATCCTTAAGAGTTCTTGATATTGATAATATATTTGGATGACATCTATAGCCGGAATATCAACGCAAATATAATGAACTGTACAAGGTGTACCTTTAGTAATCCTATGAATACATATTGTATATCTCATGGTTATCAGGTCATGTATACTTAACTTGAGGAGGTACATACATACTGTGTCTTAGTGTGTTAAGCATAATCAAGGTATTTCGGAATTCCCTCAATATATTGAGAATTCACAAAGATGTTTAGTGTTTTCTTAGTATATTAAAACTATTTCAAATATCGATTGCTTAAATATTGTCAAACATTTAATACATTTAGCATTTCATGTTTTTTAGCTTATCATTTGTATAGTCTCAGAACACAACGACCTGCCGCGTTGACTTTGATTACAAGATTAAAAAATAGGCAAATCAAAATTCATAAAGGAACGAAGGTTCACAAAAATGATTACCCAAGTTAAGTGAACAGTTGTGATCTCCCGAGTCATATACTGTACTCAATGCATCTGAACTGCAAACAGTTGCATAGGGCGGATAATTGTTGATGCCCAATATGAATATTCCATGAAATTGTCAACGCGACAGGTAATTTCGGTATGGTTATAATGTGTACGAAGGATACAGTGTACAATTCAATATCTGGTTGTGTAATCATAGGTACATCCTTAAAGTGTTGTGTAGCCTTATGCTTGGTTGTAGGCCTGTATATGTCATTTTTACCCCATGTCTGATTATAATCCTTTATTTGATTAAGGTGACGGGACCCAAAATGGATCATCAAACCAGCAATTTCTTCATTCATTGAAAATTCGGCGTATGCATTTTATCAGTTTATTGTTGTTTCAAAAGAAGAATATTGATGGGTTTTCTTAACAAAAAAAATAAATTACGAGGAAGGCTCCCGTAAGATATTGATAGAACACTTTGACGTCATCAATTTGCGTTTCCGGTTTTGTGCGATGTCAGAACCGAAAACGGATCACAACTTGAATTTTGTAATATTTTGCGCCTCAAATTAACATTTCTTTGTCAGCAGTTAACATTTAATAAAACATCATTGAACGAATTCAAAATTTCTACATTCTGAATGTATTCTTACAGTCCGAAACAAAAAAACAGTCATCGCACTCATTTTTTTACCAACGTTTACAAAAAAACTAGATTTTTTGTTTGAAGTACGTCTTCTGGTGCTGTTTGAATTTATAATTTAATCATCTCTTGTCTTAAATGATGCATAACTATGTATCGTAAGTATACATTATTGTGAGCGCAACAATACTGGTGATACATTTATTGATTTAAAATTATTTTTGCAAAGAGTGATGTGATTTGGGTACTGATCCGATTTTGGTCCTGCCTCTTTATACATAATTGAACATTTTTAAATACTGGATTAATATTCAAGTACCTGTAAACCCAGACTTAAAGCAAAATTGCCCTACCAGGGTGTGCGACTTTGATGGTGTTGCGGGGTAACATTGTTTCAGCATTCCTGATAATAAATTATTGATTCAAACTCATAACTATTCTTTTGACTTGTATTGTGTTGTACTATTGTATTATATTAACACACTTATGTGGAAAAAAGACACAATGTTGATTTCATTAATTAAAATATATCTGTATAATATACTCCTTTTTAAAGGTCCATGCCCCCCTGCAGTGTGATTTTTCATATGCACAAAAGCCTCCCCTTAATTTCTTTTTGGGTATAATTTGGGTAAAGCTGGCCCAGGATACTTTCGGAGACCAAGTAGCTCAGTAGGTTACAACGAAAGTATAACAATTTAAATCAAAGATCGATTCCCGGTCTATCCCTACTGAATTTTTACACTAAAAACATTGTTGTTAATTATATTTTTTTTATTTCATATTTATAATTTTAAAAAGTCCTGCAAGGTATGATTTTCTTTTTAGAAATTATTAATTGTCTGACGGTGGGCTCCCTTTATAAACGTTTGATTGACAATTGTATAGCTTAACAATAGTTTGATATGTAATGACTACCAAACTTCACTTATATCAATCCTAATTAAACGGCTATGGTCTGTTTAATATCCGAAGGCGCTCGAGTGATACTGTCATGATTTTTATTTCACTGAACAGCGAGATTGTACAAGTGTCGGTACGGTCTAATTAACTCCTAATTATCAACGTTTAGGTCTCTCGAACTGTAATACACTCTGTTAATTAGATTATGACATTAACATATTAAACAAAATGTGGCTATGTAAAGAAAAACAAAAGCAAAACGTGAGTAATGCTTATCCACACCACGATTGTGAGCCTCCAAAAAGTGACTCGTCCATGTAGATAATTAAAATCTCATTGAAAAACAGTATTTCAAAATGGCTGACAATGCATAAAACAGAATGAATAGATATATCACAACGTCGACACAAAACGATCAAATAGACATTTTACGGCATACAAATGTAACATAGGAACCGAGCAGACACTAGAACAAATCTGTAATGATCAAACAACACAAGGAGATCAGAGGCAGAAGCGCGTGCAGCATAGAATAGTGTCAATATCGGGTATCCTCTCCTTAATTACACCTGCTATCTTCTGCAGTATTTCAGTCGTAGAGCGTTTTATTGCCCGCAGAATATTATTCCCTAGATACAAATACCACTTTTCTCTTATTCACTTATTAAATAAACCGTATTAAAGCGTCTGTGTGCATGCACAAGTAAATGCCGATAATAAGAAGCAATCATTTAAATGGGTTTTACTATATGCTGATAAGTAAGTTACCATTCTGTTCTTGGTATATGCCAACATTTGTACTTCGTGCAGTGTATTGCTTTGTTACGGGTCTCGTTTTCTCATAGATATTTACTGCCGACAGCGGGTTCAGAATCTGCGAGCTTCCTGTCAATAGGCCTATGTATTAGCCAACTGTTTTATGGGACACTTGTCTGGTGTCCTTGACATCCTCTTAATAAGACTGGATCGTCATTTACAATCTCTGATCTTGAAAAGTCTGTCCTCGACATTCTCTTAAAATGATTTTTCGTCCATCAACATCCTCGTAACATGAACCGTTCGTCTTGACATCCTGTTAATAGCAAGCGTTCGTCCCTGAGATTCCCTTAACATGAGGGGCTAGTCATAGACATTCTCTTAATCTGGGGCTTTCGTCCTGACATTATCTTAACGTCACGATTGTGTTCTTGACATCCTCTTGGTATGACGGGTTCGTCTTGACATCATCTTAATATGACCTTTTTGTCCTTGACATCCTCTTGGTATGACGGGTTCGTCCTGACATTATCTTAACGTCACGATTGTGTTCTTGACATCCTCTTGGTATGACGTGTTCGTCTTGACATCATCTTAATATGACCTTTTTGTCCTTGACATCATCTTAATATGACCTTTTTGTCCTTGACATCCTCTTGGGGTGACGGGTTCATCCTGACATTATCTTAACGTCACGATTGTGTTCTTGACATCCTCTTGGTATGACGGGTTCGTCTTGACATCATCTTAATATGACCATTTTGTCCTTGACATCCTCTTGGTATGACGTGTTCGTCTTGACATCATCTTAATATGACCATTTTGTCCTTGACATCCTCTTAATATGACCATTTTTCCTTGACATCCTTTTAATTTGACATTTTTGTCCTTGACATCCTCTTGACATAACGGGTTCATCCATAACATCTGAAAAAGTCGGGGTCGTACTTGACAACATGTTAACATGACATGTTCGTCCTTGTCATGCTCTTACAATTACGGGTTCGTCAATGAAAACTTCTTAACATTTCAGGTTCTTCCTTGACATGCTCATGCCATGATGGGTTCGTACTTGACACCTTCTTAACATGACATGTTCGGCCTTGACCTTCTCTCTACATCGCGGGCTCGAACATGAAATCGTCTTGACATGATGGGTTCGTACTTGACGTCTACCTAACTTAACGAGTTTGTCCTTGACATCTTAACATGACGTGTTACTCCTGGACATCTGATTCCTACCATGACGGTTCCGTCCTTGGCAAAAAGGGTATTTAAGAAAGGAACTTTTCCGTCTGCCTCTTAGTCATCTTTATAAACCCAATTTAGCAACCACTAAGGAGTAGAATAGGTAAACAAATTACCCGTTCCTCTGACTGACTGCAGTATTAGAGTGCTATTTGGACGACAATTTTCGATATTTTCTGATAACTGGTTTTACTGATTCATGTAGCATAGTGAGTTATTTTCAGCGGCGTAAAGTCTAGACATCGGTCATTTGCACACTTTGCTCAACAAAGGAAACAAACGTTTTCGAATGTTCGCAAATACATGTTTTTATTACTGTTTGTGTTCAAAACAAACTTAGCATTCATTGGTCAAATCCCATTCCGATACGATTGTAATTGCTGCCCTTTGGGACAGAAATAAATCAATTGAACCTTACATAATTGGCGCGTGTATGTATCATAGACGTGATCCTGTTGTGAAGTAGTGACGTTTTCGGAATATGGGTGCAAGTTATATTACATTTTATACAGTGAAATATTGAATATTATTCATTTTATATAAGTGATATTTTTCACTTGTGAAAATATCAAATTTTCACTTTTGCTGATTTCACCAATCAAAACACTGATTACAAACTACAACGGAAAAATTTCATAACACTCCCTTTATTTTTTACAAGCGCAAATATCAACAAGTAAAAGAGAAAGTAGGCCTTACAGTTAGCTAGGATTAGATAGAAAGGCCTGCATAACATGATGTCATCACATTCCAGATACTACTAACTGATTTGTGACCAAAAGTTGATGGACTTTGAGTTAGGACCTCACAATCAGATGTCACGAGGAACTGATCGACGATAATGGAGATAAATGTTAACATCAGACACACGTACGTCCACGTGCTTCTTAGCAATACGTGTACATTGTACCAGCGATATCAGATGATATATCATATGATAGGAAAGTGTATTTTATACTTTCACATATTTTCATACCAGATACAGCAGCCTTTGAGGTATACACAGGTACATTGTACATGTACATGTCTAGAGCTCTCGGGATATTCGACACACCAAAGCACCTGCGGTTTAATCAATCTAATGGTACGTTGATGATTCTTCACTTTTATTTTTCGATGTTTAAAGTTGTCCTTCAGGTTCCATTTCACCCGAACTTTAAAGCTATGCTTTATAATTAAATAGTAAAATTTATCTCTCGAATATTACCACACGTGTGTTTTCCAAAACTCATTTGTTTGTAGCGTAATTCGAAGCTTTTTTTTATATTTAATAGAAGCATAATTTTAATGCATTTACGTTTGCATCTCACTTCATGTAAAACTTTCAGTCCGTTTCAAAGACGTGTTGGTGATTTCATGTCGACTTGTGAATTTATTTGCCACTAAAAATTCTATTATTGCTCATTCTAATAAGCCTTTTTAGTTTTATTATTTCAGTTAATTAGTAAAAGTTTGTAGAGTGGTTAACTTTCAATTGGTATTGATAAAAAATTTAAACGATTAATTTACTCCATTAATTAGATCTATAACTTTTCCGTTACCATACTTTTAGACTTTCTCTGCTGAGGCCTTGAAGTTTTGGTTTGGTTTTATCTTGTTCTGCGTCCTATTAGCAGCGAAGTTCATTTTAGGACGTGCCTCTCAGTGTGTAATGCATCCAGGTAAGTGTGCCGGAGTTAGGGTATATTGATGTGTCTGCCTCCTTGTAATTGTGCAAATCTGATGTCGACTTTAGAGTGCTATCTCGCTATAATAACACGCTGAAGGCATGAAGCAGAATACTCCAAACGGTTACATTATACTAACAATATGTAAACCAGTAAATGAGATAACCCTAATTGCTGAGTTAAGCAGGGAATAGCAACTGTCCTGGCCTGGGGACACAGCCTATGGCATACCCCACTTGGGCGAGCGCTCAACACTAAGACCAAAAGTGAGGTTTTGCGAAGCAAGGCTCTAGGAAGCAAAAGGTTTTAAATGAATTACAATGAAAAAGTATAGATACCAAAGGTAGCAATGAGGACAGCAGATCAATTGTAGGTTTTTCAATGTCCCCTTAACAGAAGACAAAGAAGAAAGCCCCCGATTCGACAGGAGGCTAAACATTGTTCTCCCTTTACGTCATAAAGTGGGATACAGCAGGCCTATACTGTCCTCAACCTGCAGGGGATTGCATTGAAGTGTGCAATATGTATTTGCAGAGTTATTTCCATTTTGTTACCGATGAATAGAAAATATTATGTTGTAACTATAAAACAATTCCAACGAGTGTAATACATTACTTGAACTAATAAAGTAAATGGTGAATAGTACGTAAATTTCTGGACATTTTCTAAAAAAAAGACAATCCAAAATTTAAAGAGAAAAATCAAGTCATTTCAGAATCCTTAGGGTGTTCTCATTCATTACATCAGGTTCCCTTATTACATCAAATACACATTATATAGTAATGTGAAAAGATTCATGAAGCACAAACAGTACGTGTTTATATGTGACGTTTTGATGACAAGTACGGTATGTACTCTGTCGCCTTCATAAGACAAATTACCTGTGAAGCGTATGTTCACAAAGGTGTAAAATATGTACGAGTTGACCACGCTAATCGATATCGATTTGGCTGCGCTGTAAATGTATGTACAATTAGCGATTCGGCTATGCTTTGTTTAATACTTGGTCATAGATGTGCGAGAGTCTATGAGCCCCTCATCTCGATTTAGAACTGGCCCACTGAGGCGTATCCAGATGGCTACCATTATCTGCCGCTGGAATAGATTGCTCTCTCTGTCCAATACTTTGTAGAAATTCCAGTCAATCACATGATGTTTCTGTGTGGTATGGTCTTTGATTGCCGATTTATTTATCTGGGACTCCGACTGCTTCCTTTCTGCAATATAATCGATAAAAAATACAAGTATCCTGTCTGGGGCCTCAATTAGATATCACATTTTCACTACGAAGGCTACGTTTGAATGTTTCCGAGTAAACAATGTAGTCTGACCTTACACAGATGATTTTTACAGTATTAAACTTTATGTGTGATTTGTGTGTTAAGTTATTGTTTACGGACGCTGACACTCTTGCACAAGTGTGTGTACAAAATTGAACCAGTGTATCACTTGCTCTAGCGCGAATGACTACATCGTTTTGTGAAAATTCCGTGAAAAATCACGGAAAGGTGCTAGACAGATCGGATGAGATAGAAAAATCTAGCATCGGGTATTGCATGGAATATTCCTTAAAAAAACAAATTCACCTCATTGAATATAACGTTAAATTTGTGTCTTAATGCAGATGGTGCTGTGGTGCATAACAATTTCATGAAAATGGGATTGAAACATTCCAAACCAGTACAAGAAAGTGGAGCCATGGAAACAGGGAAACAACTGGCAAAGGACAACAGCAGTACTGATAAAGGTATTTCCAAACATACCGTCCAACAAGTATACATTATTCATTCTTAAAAATTGAGATATGACACAAGATGAGATATATTTCTTCAACAACCACTATACATTTTCTTACTCCTGTTTCATTGGATAAATCTCCTCGGAGTTGGTAAATATTTTTGGTTTCCCACTAGTTGGGAACACCTGGGACGTTATTTAATTGGTTCAATCTTCTAATTATGACGTCAAGTAACAATGCTTTGTGACGTCATCTACCATTGTGACGTTGCAGTTCATGGCAATTGTTTTCCCGATCAAAAATAGGAATAATGTATCCCTCAGAGAAGCATAATGTTTTCTGGATATCATATCTGAATGATTTGGAATAAAAAGGTCCCCAAACTCGTGATGATCATCTAACTCGAGTTATTTAATTTTCAAATTGTGAAACAAAAGTCGGTAATCCTTGTATTTTAATTCAATTTGAAAATGAAATAATTTAAGTAAGATAAACATGATAATCAACCATCACGAGTTAAGAAACTTCTATATCTAAATCTTGTTATTCAATTTTCGAATTGTAAAAGACATTTGGTTAACCTCATGTCCTAATACAATTTGAAAATTAGCTTATTCGAGTAAAAATGATAACTAACCATCACACTCAACAAATGTGACCTTCAGTCAGTCAAGGTCAAATTATTTAAACAAAGTTTAAGGCAAGCAGGCTGACACTATAGGCTAAATATATTTACTTTTCATCTTATAGAACTATGTTCGATGATTTTTACCTTTTTTAGCCATGAGCCCTCAAAGTTAAACGTCTTTAGTTCAACAATTAAATATGCTATCCCAGCAACCTACGGTCTTGATGTTGCTCATCTTTGTCCTTAGAAACTTTTGAAAAATTTCAGATGTTTTATCCTTGTTGCCATGAAAGTAGGTCAACAAAAAAAAAAGTTCTTTATTCCTACATGCTTTAAGGGAAACTATAAACATTCTATGCCTTATTGGTGTTTAAAACAATTAAACCCCTTGAAGACTGACTTCTGTGCACTTGATATCACAGTAATTCATTTGAAACAAAATGATCGCATTTTATCACAGCATGCTGGAGGTCAAATACATTCATCATGTTAACCATGGGATTATTTTAAGCAATCCTTAGATTTTTCCACATTTGACGTCCTGTGACCTTGAAAGTGGGTCAGGGGACATTGATTTGCACAGACTTTGAAGCTCCTCAACCAAGCATGCTACAGGCCAAAAAGTCAATACCATAGACATCTTTGATATTCAGTAGGAGTTGTTTTTAGGTTTAAGCTACTGGTCAGCTTATCACAGAAAAATCAGGACTTTTGTTCTTGAGAGAAAGTCATTCAAGCATGTGGATTAATTTAACCAGTATGTTGAATATTCATATATATCCAGGCCATTTCTTTCTGCAAACGTTTTGCATTCGATTTCTGCAAGCTACTTTCCAGAAGTGACCTTGAATGTTGGTCAAGATCATTTTTGTTTTCAGACTTTGTAGCACTATTCATAACAGCAAATTACTAGATACATGTCATGACTTGGACCTTTTTTTTTTTTTAGATCTTTAGCTCACCTGACCAAAAGGTGTTGTGTCTGTCGTTTGTCCGTTGGCCTCCTGTTTATGACAAACTATGTAGTACATGTATTTATGAATATATATAATATTAAACCTATATGACCTTGAAACAAGATAGTGTTTTTCACAAATTTTATCAGGCTTCATCAGTTCATTATCATTTGCCCCATTGACACCACACTTTCCCATACGTTCAAAGTTACTCTGTATTTATTCAATTTTGTTGATTTATCGAACAGAGAAAACTTTAACACGAACTGAGTGTGGATACAACAATAAAGAAGAGACGCCGACTTCAAGTCACTTCCATCCTCGTAAGTATTTTTATTTTTGGTTGCAACAGCCAGGGTCATATGAAAACGGTTGCCAAGGGAGAGTGTGCTGGAAAGGGAGTGTGGATAGGAGAGAGTAGAAAAGAAAGGGGGAAATTCCAAGTGTTGCGAATTGCAAATATCGTGTTATCAGTATCCTCTCAGAGGACCATGTGGAAGATTAGCTTTGCTAAACAGGTTTGTTATCCTCAATAAATAAAGTTTATTTTGATTATTAAGACACACAAAAAAACAACCAAATTCTGCAAGGGGCCCAACATACATACCCTCCTAAATACACATGCAGTGGGATACAGCAGGCCATTGTTTGGTTTCTCCAGTGTCCCTTAAACAGAGGATACTGAATACACTTCCCTGCTCCTGCTTGGGGCTCATACTTGTGTCGAGGAAAACCTTAATCTAACCAAGCCAAAAATACAAATACGATGTCTGTTTAATATTCATTACATGTACTTTGCTTTTGGTAAAATTTTCCCCATCTCTGCGAAGTTGAGAGAGGATATATAAAAAGGAGCCATGCATCTGAATGTCAGTGTAACAGGTGAAGAAGATTTGTTACTTCCCTACTCTCTGTCTGAGTAACTTGGATAATACTTGCATCACTAACGTTGCTAGGGTCTCTTTCCTGAAGACGTGTTACGGAAGCTGAATTCAACCTACATTTTATGCTTCAGTGACTTCCTTCCTCTTATAATGTGGGAACCCGCCCAAAGTCGTACACCACTTTCATGATTAATATTTCATGCACCCAGCAGTTATGAACCTGAGTATTGTTTTTCACCCTTTTTTGTTAAGGAATTATGTCCCTTTTTGTGCAGGGTGAATTAGTCAGCCATCCTGGCGACAGTTCTAATTTTGAAGTTGTTAATTAGGTACTGTCAAGGTTGCTACTTTTTTAACCAATAGTCTGCATAAAGAAACGTTATATATTGAAAGCTTTTATGAGTTTCTTTTCATGCATTTTTTGTCCACGCTATTAGATAAAGGTGATGAATAACAGGTCCATGTATTCTTTTGCTTTATAAATATGTTTAAACTTATACAAATATAACTCAAATGACGTTTCACACTGAATAGAAATATTTTTCTTTATCTTTCTTTTTCATGATTTTTGTGTATTCTTTGGAATAATTTTCATTGATTAAAAACATTTAAAAGCCAAATATTCAAAATAAACATTTTTATTATAGGTTCTGTAGGATTAGATGAAATGGAAAGAATGAACCAGAGTTCATCCTGTCATGAGAGACCACAAGAGATTTCAAAAGAATGTATCAGGCAAGTAGACAAACCAAGAACTGTTGTACGTAATAGCGACTCTGAAATCAAAACGGCATTATTTGTGAAATTTGCAGAAACATTAAAGAAAACTTTTGACATATTTGGATATCTTCTGCAGCGACTGCCGAATGAGATGGAATTCACATACATCGACCAAACTATTGATATACAAACTGGAAACACAGTTGTACAACTTCAGTGCCCAAGTAGACGTGATGCAGAACGCCTTGCGGATGAACTATATCAAAGTAATGATGTATGCGACACAAACGTCTGCTGCTTTTATTCATTTGAAGAAGCCAGTCATCTGACCATGACAACAAATGAGAAAAATTACAACTTTTTTGCAGAACACGTAGACAATTTAGTGAAACGGACTGAATCGTCTTTGGCAGCTCACCAAGTCAAGATAGAAGATCTAAAAGAAAATGTAGAAAAGACAAAGCCGATGTTTTTGTCATTGGAAGATTTTGGGGTTGCTGATCAAGAAACAAAAGCACTGGAAGATAAACTGAAAGAGCTTAAACTTCAAAAAGGAGAATTTCAAAATTGTATTGCAACGGTTCATCGAATATTCGTTGAAATGAAGGACACTCACATTTGTAAAAAAACAGTTTTTGAAATAATGAAAGCTTTTGGTGTGGAATGTAACAGACTTGAGAAAGCCTTACCGATGTACGCAAGGAGATCAGACATACTTGATACTGTGAAGAACAACCAAGTGTCTGTCATCATTGGAGAAACAGGATCAGGAAAGAGCACACAGATGGTACAGTACCTCTATCAGAGCGGATTTGCCAGCAGGGGGATGATCGCCTGTACACAACCTCGTAAAATAGCCGCTATTAGCGTAGCTACACATGTTGCATGTGAAATGGGCACATCTGTAGGGGAAATCATTGGGTACAAGGTCGGAATGCAAGAGATGAAAACTGCATTTACAAAAGTTATGTTTATGACTGATTATGTTTTGCTGAAGGAATGTCTCAAGGATAAACAACTGTCTTCATTTTCCTGTATAATCATAGACGAAGCTCACGAAAGAAGTATATTCACTGATCTGCTTCTCGGTATGATCAAAAGCTGTCTTGCCGTACGCACTGACCTCCGTGTTGTGATAACATCTGCTACCATTGACCCTGAAGTCTTCGTCCAATACTTTGGACGATGTCCAGTATTCTCTGTGTCAGGAAGAATGTTTCCAGTAGATGTCATATGGAAAGAACCTGACAATGAATCATTTTTAAATCACATAGAGGAATGTGTTAGGAAAGCAATTGATGTTCACTACCGTCAACCTGAAGGAGACATTCTGGTGTTTGTAACCTCTCCACAAGAGACTGAAAAATGTTGTGAGAAGTTTATGGCTTACACGGAAGGCAAAAATCAAAACTGTGTTTGTCTGCAACTGCATGGGAAACTTCAAGCCGACGAACAAAGAAAAGTATTTGATACCCTCCCTGGTAAACGCAAAATCGTGTTTGCTACCAACAGTGCTGAGACATCTGTTACCATTCCTGGCATCCGATACGTTATCGACACTGGTTTGGTCAAGGAGATGAGTTACGATCCAAAACGGAAAATGAATACATTGGCTGTGACAGCAGTGACAAAAAGCTCAGCTGATCAGCGGAAAGGTCGTGCTGGACGTCTTGGGCCTGGGATATGTTACCGACTGTATACAGAGGATGAATATGACAAAATGAAATCCAACATGGTTCCAGAAATATTACGAGTGAATCTTGGTCAGGCAATGCTTAAGCTGATAGAGCTCGAAATTGATCCATTGGAATTCGACTTTGTCATGTCACCGTCAAAAGAAATCATGGAAAGCGCAGTGATGGAGCTGGAGGATCTTGGAGCTGTATCGTCAAAAAAAATTACCCATCTTGGAAAATGGATTTCAAAGTTGCCTTTCGATCCTAAGTTTGGTGTTTTTATCTATGATGCAATGGCTATTGGTGCTTGTCTTGAAGGGATAGTTATAGCTGCATCATGTAACAGTGCTTCCATTTTCTTTCGAGCTGGAACTGCTGACAAAAAAGAACAAGCCGATCGGAAAAAGATCCCGTTTTGTCATGCAGATGGTGACCTGATGACAATGCTAAATGTCTTTCGAGATTGGAACAGGCTGCCCGAGAAAGCCAGGGGGGCATGGTGTTTTGCTAATTCAATCAACGGCAAGGCGTTGAAAGGAATTAAGGAAGTAGTCAAAGATGTGTTGACAACACTGAGGAGAGAAATGCAAACAGAAGTACCATTTAAATTTGATGACCATGGGAAGATAGACCATATGCTTATCAAACCCCTTCTGAAGACATTCAGTGGAAATATCAGCTATTATCTTGGCCACCCGAAGGCAGGTTATGTACTTGTAACCAAGGATCAGAGAATAGAAGTTCACCCAACATCAGCCTTGATGTCTTTGGCTAGTCATCCAGATTGGGTTGTATTCGACCAGGTGATGAGAACGTCAAAGGACTTTGCTATGAATATCACACCAATCAGTGAGGAAATGGTAATCAAAGGCATCGAAGAAGGATCACTGAATGTGGATATTGGAAAAGCCAGAAGCAAACGTATTCTACCCATTTGTACAGCATATGTGGGGTCCAAAGTTTTTAAAGAAGTTGTTGGAATTCGATATACCGCTCTCAGGGAATTAGAAGCAGCATTGGTGGAAAAATGTCACGGAACTATTGTTGTGGTAGGGGCTGATATTGAAAAAGGCGAGCTGAGGATATTCTCTAAATCGTCCAATCAACAAACACTAGAAGGTTCGTTAGACAACGTGCTAAACCCTATCAAATGTAATTTACTTGAAGAGGAAAGAGAAGAAAAACTTGGTGTGAAGTCAACAGACCGATCTGTTAGAGTTGTGATAGGGGCTGGAGGCTGTACAAAGACTTTGTTTATGCCTGATGAGTACAAGGTAGTAATGATACACTGCGATGTCAACAAGACACAGGAATTAGAATGTGAAGATGTGCTTGAGCATTTTAGCAAATTTGGAAAAATTGCAAAGTGTAGCAAATATCACTTAAAGAAGAATGCACCATCACTTTGGGGTCAAGTGATATACCAGAAAAAAGAGAACGCTGTACAAGCTGTCGCAATGACTATGGGAAACTCCGATCTCTCTGCTCGGCCTGACATGCGGATAAGCAGTAAAAAATCAGAGAAATTCAAAGTCCGGATGCAATGGTGCCGCAGACGTTCACGCGGATTCGGATTCGTTACGTTTGGAAGTGTTATAGATGCCGAGAATGCTGTGCTAAATGTTCAAATGTTAGTAGGAATATCATTGGCCAATATCAGACCATCCAAATCAAAGACACCTAGCCAATCTGCTGCAGGACAGATCCATGTTTCTGGACTAAGTCAAATGGTGAATGAGGATGTTTTGAGGGAAAGTATTGTCAAAAGTTTGAATTTAGATCCTGTCACTGGTATTACAAAAGTAACTGTTGTTAGAGAAAAGGTTGGTCTTGAAAGTGAAGAAGACCTTAATATGATGAAATGCCGTCTTCGTGCAGAAATCGAAAACTATGTCAAACAAGGGACCTACGAGTTGGAACTGAGAGCACCCCAACGAGAAACAGAGATCAACTTCAATGCTTTTGTTACTTTTGACAAGCCTGAGGATGGCCAAGTAGTGTGTGACAAAATGGATCACAAGTTTGTGTTGAACGATCAAACTGTGTCTGCGAAGCCCGTTTTCCAATGCTCATTGTACATTGCAAAGGGAATTTACGAAAAGAGCGGCGACGCTTTAAATCAATGCGTCAGAGAGCTGGAAGCGGAAGGAGTTCGAATAAAGACGAGAACCGCCCGAAACGAGAACGTTTTCTTAGAGATCACCACAGAAGACGTTGAAACCCTCGCCAGTGCGAGACGGTCTTTTCAAGACATTATCAAAGGGGAAGTGGTCGAATGCGACGATCCAGCTAAACTTAAGTCTTTATTTACACGCGCAGGTAAAACCAAGTTAAATCAGATCATGAATCAAACAGAAACACTTATTCTTACTGACAACAGAGTCATGGCTGTCTCTATTCACGGGCTCCAACAAAATCGACAAAGAGCGAAACAGAAAGTTGACGAGTTTCTTGTAGAAATTTCGTCTTGCAACTCCGAAGTCATAGACTTGAAAGGCGAGGGAACACCTCCTGGAGTTTTGAAGGCAATTTTTCTGAGATACTCATTCGATTTCTGTAAACTACGGGAAGAAACTGGTCTTGTTGATGTCCGATTGGATCAAAGAAATCATCGAATAGTGTTGATTGGGTCAGACAGTGCAGTCACAACAGCTAAAACTCTCATTAGAAATATCATTGAAAGTATTTCTCCTGGAGGTTCCAGAGGAAAGGAAGATGAACCAGAATGTGTCACGTGTTTTTGTCCTGTTGAGCGAAAAGCTTTGTACCGAGTGGAATGCTGTGGTCATCCCTACTGCGAAGAATGTCTCCAGGCTCAAGTTCAAGCATCCATCATAAACCGGGAATATCCAATGAAATGTGAAATGGAAGATTGCAACACCTTATTTACCTGGCAAGATATCACAAACCTGTCGAAAATGGGTCAGGTCAAAATATCCGAACTAACTGATTCGTCAGTCGGTAAATTTGTCCAGGAAAACAAGCAGCACTATCGCTTTTGCGTTACGCCTGACTGTCCTGTTGTGTACCGAGTAACAGAGATTGAAACGTCATTCATCTGCCCAGAATGTGACATTAATATCTGCACCGGCTGCCATGTACAGTTCCATGATGGCTTAACATGTGCCATGTTCAAGGTAAAGAACAATGAAGATACGACCATGACAAATTGGTTCGCTGAGAATACGGCAAACCGAAAAAGATGTCCAAACTGTGACACGCCTATAGAAAAGGACGGCGGATGTAACCGTGTGCAATGTGTGTCATGCCAAAAGCATATTTGTTGGCTATGTCTGATTTTTTTTGACGACAGTAGTTCATGTTACGGACATCTCAGTACTGCTCACGGCGGTTATTTTTGAGGTAGTCAGGAACACTATATACGAGAAGAACACTGTGGAACCTTTCACAAGAAATGGGTAAACTTAAAATAGAGAAAAAAGGAAATTATGCCCGAATCGTGCTTCCTCTCGAGAAAAGAGTGGATGAAAAAAATATTGACGGAAATGTCTAAAGCTCTCTGTTCAAAGCAGAATGCATTTTATATCTTGAGGATGGTGAACTTAGTGTTCGGTATCATTTCAATTTTTTCATTTTTTGGAAGATACATGTAACTTAAGATTTTTCATAATGTTAAGATATATATTGTTCCAAAAATAGGAAAATTTGTTTAAAGTGTGATTAATATTTAACGTTTTGAAAACCAATAAACATGTTCGAACCAAAAAAGAAGGTCGATTACGTGATAAAATGAAAAGGAAGCTTGTTAAATTTCCTCTGCGTTAAAAATTGACAAATGATTACTTTAATCAACTACAGTTCAGGTAACGAATCTTGTATATTACAGACAAGTGGAACCCCGGAAATAATATATATTTAAACTGCCTCCAGTTTACACCATACAGAATATATAGTGTAAACATAAAATGTAATACATAAGATATTAGGAACTTTGCTCCGAAAAATCGATTGAACCAATGGAAATTGGCAATTGGAACTAAACTCATTTTGCTTGATTTTAAGCTCACTAAGACAAACACCCGTTACTGTAGCTTATCAGATGAGACATGTTGTCATTGCTTATAGTTCAAATCTACTGTTACTTTTTTGTATAAATCTTTGTTATTGCTTAAGCGACTTCATTTCTAAAGAGGTTTTGATAATTGGTTTATTGGTCAAGTATGAGAAAACCATAAAAAGTTCATGTTTTAGGTTATTAAGATCAAGATATATAGAGGTAACATTGCAACCATCTTGGCTGTTTATTCATTGTCTCAATTGTGACGTCAAATAAAGCCTCGGAGTTTTTGATATTATTTCATGATAACTTATGACAAATATATATTGTTACCTTACGATTGAAATAAAACAGCTCTGCTAAAAAAACAAATACGAACAATTTGAATATCGATGTTTACAATAAAAACGAGAAATTGCTGTTATTTAATTTATTTCATCGATTGATCGAGTGCTGACCATATTTCCCTATGCAAACCAGTATAAACAGAAAATGTTAATAGTTTAATTATTTTATTCTAAACCCGTACGGATATAACTGTCTGAAAACTTCAGTTATTCAACAGCTTCCTCCTTAGAGGTAGGTGTTTGTAAACTGAGTCCAATACCAAAGGAAAAGTTGGAAACGATTTAAGAAGTTTTAGCTCCCTGTCATAATTCAATGAGCTTAAAGATATTTGAGAAAAAAGACCAAATTCAATATATCCATGACGGGAAATATTTCTTGCATGAACCCAATCGAAAACATCATGGTCACATCAAAAAAGTATAATAAGAATCAGCAGACAAACAGGTTCACCTTTGGGAGGCTTGGCAAAGTAATTGGTACGCGTTAGATAAATGGTTTCGCAAGTTGCTTAATCATAGCACACCAAGCAGAATTGTAGTAATGATCAAAACTAAAGAATGTTATACAAAATATTAGTTTAGTAATGGTCGAAAGCATTTCTGGTACTGAGAAAATCCAAAACTAATCGAACGCACGCAATATTTCTTTTGCGCTTACTGGAATTATATCTGTCAATAAAATGTGCCCTTAATTGCTAAACAAAACAGTGTGTTATTACTTTCTAATCGGGGCTGTATTGGGTCATATATTATTCTATACTGTAATAGAAATTTTTGGTTGCATCATCTCATTCGTGCATATTATTGAAGAAGACTTATTTAGATCAAGCTAGAATTGATCCACGTCAGGTTAGACTTTTAAATATGCAGACACAATTATAATAAAGAATAAATGATGACCTTTTTTAGTGAGATTAACTAGTTGTATATACTATGCATCATACATTTTAACACGGTCAGGATTCATGTATTGTTTGTGATGCCTTTTTTTAGAACTAAGACATAACGACATAATACACTTTATATGGTATATAGCATGCGTGAGTGAACAGTTATCAGACAGGATCAGATGAATGATATTCTATTGTTGGTGGTTTGTTGTCAACACGATGGTGGTGTTGATATTTTGTATATTTTATTCAACGCAATACTATAAATGTGTATATTGTCAGCACAATTATTTACTGTTGCTTATTTGTATAGTCAACATCATGCTATGATGTTGTTGATTTTTGAGGTCAACGCATGCTTTACTGTTGCTGTTGTTTTGTATAGCCAACACAATGTCAAACTGTTGAAATGTCTGTATAGCCACTTAATGTTATACCGTTATTAATTTTGTACAGCCAGCTAAATGCTAAACTGGTGGAGATGTTTTGTATAGCCGACGCCATGATAGACTGTTGCTGATAAAATGTAATAGCCAACACATTTTCAGACTGTTGCTGATGTTTGTATAGATCATGCACTAATATACTGTTGTTGATTTTTCGTGTAGTCAACACAATGATAAACTGTGGCTAATGTTTTGTATAATCAACACAATGTTATACTGATATTTATATTTTGTATAACCAACACAATGTTATATGATGTTGATGTTTTGTAGTTATACTTTTGTTGATGTTTTGTATTACCAACACAATGTTATACTGTTGCTGATGTTTTGTATAACCAACACAATGTTATATGATGTTGATGTTTTGTATAACTAACACAATGTTATATGATGTTGATGTTTTGTATAACCAACACAATGTTATACTGATATTTATATTTTGTATTACCATCACAATGTTATACTATTATTGATGTTATGTATAACCAACACAATGTTATATGAAGTTGATGTTTTGTATAATCAACACAATGTTATATGATGTTGATGTTTTGTATAATCAACACAATGTTATATAATGTTGATGTTTTGTATAACCAACACAATGTTATACTGATATTTATATTTTGTATTACCATCACAATGTTATACTTTTATTGATGTTATGTATAACCAACACAATGTTATATGATGTTGATGTTTTGTATAATCAACACAATGTTATACTGATATTTATATTTTGTATTACCAACACAATGTTATACTATTATTGATGTTATGTATAACAAACACAATGCTATATGATGTTGATGTTTTGTATAACCAACACAATGTTATATGATGTTGATGTTTTGTGTAACAAACACCATGTTATACTGTTGCTGATGTTTTGTATTACTATCACCATGTTATACTGTTGCGGATGTTTTGTATAACAAACACAATGTTATAGTGTTGCTGATGTTTTGTATAGCAAACACCATGTTATACTGTTGCTGATGTTTTGTATAACAAACACCATGTTATAGTGTTGCTATTTTTTATTATTAACACCATGTTATACTGTTGCTGATGTTTTGCATAAGCAACACCATCCTATACTTTTGTTGATGTTTTGATTGTATAGCCAGCACAATTTCAGACTGTTGCTGATGTTTTGTATAGTGAACATAATGTTATACTGTTATTGATGTTTTGCAAGTGAACAGACAAATGATAGACAGTAACTGATATGTGTATAGACAGAACATTTGGGCTATTACAAATGTTTCAATGTGCCATTACATTACATATGAGATTACTAAATGTTAAAACTGCAATCACCCGTGATTGTATAACTTCCATTTATGAAACGAAATTTGCCACTTACGTTAACCTCTTTCGAACAAAAACGAAAATTCCTTGACGAGTTTCAAGAATCGCGTATGTAAAGAATATACAACGATTTATCACATGGTCAAGACTAGTTCATGCACAATATGTCGAAATTGGTCCTAATAAATGAGTTCATATGTAAACAAACAATGTGACATTGGTGTATTCACTGCATACCAAGGTACAACTTTTGAACTGTGTGGTAAAGTGATTTACTTTTGTTAGTGTCAACGATACATTGTATTTGTTTGATAAAGTCGAAGTCAATATACTGTCGTTTTACATATTACATATATTGAAATACCGTTGTTGATGATTTATGTAGTCATAACACAGACAAACTATTGTTGATGTTTAACATAAAGTTATACGTTGGTATACCGTTGTTCCTGATTTCATTTCAGAATATGTATTGTTCAGATCTTAGATACAAAGGAATTGGGCAACAGGCAAAGCGTATGAGCGCCCTCTCCTTAAAGTTATAAACAGTTTACATACATTATATTGAATTGAAGTAATGATAAAACATGTATATTATGTATATGTATATTGATATTTGCATGTCATTATCATTTTTTTGATAATTGTTGTACAAAAACTAGATTTTACAAAAAATGGCAATTAAAATTATGCTGGTGGAGCACATAGTACAAGTATGTACTGGTATCTTTCGACACAGCAAAGTCAGGTGAAAAAAGATAAACAAGAAAGTGTAATCTAGTAAAAACGTGCAGTATCTTTAATGATCCTGATTTATATAGCCATACACTACAGTCGTTGATTACTAATAGAAATATTCATGTTTTATATAATAAGGCATTTTATTTTCTACAATAGCAAGGAAAAAGACTTTTGACATTGAAGCAGTGCCAATTTCTTCGTCATATTATTACGTTAAAATTAATCAATCATAATTAAATTTTGGTTTCTTAAATAGCGTTTGCATCAGCTTGCTTCAATGGAAAAAGTGCTATGCAAGTAACTTATATAGAATTATCTCACTTACTAAAAGCTTTATTGTATCTGTATAAAATTATTACACTTGTCACCGGATTTTCAGTGTGTGCATTGATGATTAATTTGTCATTTGTTACATTTTATTGTTAATATCTATACATTGTTATGGTTATTTCATTGTTGTGATTTGTTACGAAGATTATTTTTTGAAATCGTGTCTTCCACTTAATTCCCACAGACATGCAAACAGGTCATGACAATGTATAGTAGCACTTGATTTATGGCCAAATTCTCAAATGTGTGCGTTAGAAGTCCAGCTTGTCAAGCTTTATGAGAGAGCGAACTCCCGAAAGCAAATGCATAAAGAGCAAGTACAAATATATAGTAACGATCTTGTTATACAAATTATTGAGTTCATGATTTGAAGATTAAATTGATCTTTTTTTAGCCGAAAATTCCAAATTACATGCATGTACGCTTTCAACAGAAGGTAATACTATTCTACATATAAGACTT